GCAAAGTCTCCATTTTTCTTTATTGCTGAGTAGTATCCCATGGTCCACATATAGTGTAGATTATTTATACATTCGTGAGTTGGTGGGTTGGGTTGTTTCCGCATCCTGATGACTGTGGGGTTGTTTCTGCATCCTGATGACTGTGAATTGAGGTGTGATAAGCATTCTAATGTAAATGTCCTTATGGTAAAATGAGTTTTTTTCTTCTGGGTAGATCCCTAGTAATAGGATTGCAGGATAAAATGGAAGGCCGACTTTTAGTTCTTTAAGGATTCTCCATACTTCCTTCCAAAAGGGAAGTATTCATTTGCAGCCCCACTAACAGTGTATCAGTGTTCCCTTCTCTCCACACCCATGCCACATCTGCAGTTTTGGGACTTGGTGATGTAGACTGCTCTAACTGGCGTTGGGTAACATCAGGAGTCACACATAATTTTGATTTCCATTTTTATAATAATTAGGGATGATGCATATTTTTTTCATGCATTTCTTGGCTATTTGTCTTCTTAGGAGGAGGTTGTCTTGTTCATGGCTCTTGCACACTGATAAATGGGGTTGTTTGCTATTTTCTTGTTGTTTACTTTGAATTTTTTTTTTTTTTTTAACAGATTCTTGTTATTAGCCTTTTGTCAGGTTTATAACATGTGACTATCTTCTCCCATTAGGAAGTTTGTCTATTTGCTTTATTGTTGTGTCCTTAGCTGTGCAGAAGCATTTTAACTTGATCAGGTTCCATTTATTTATTTTAGTTGTTGCTGCAATTACCAGTGGAGTCTTCTTCATAAAAATCTTGCCCAAGCCAGTATCATGAAGAGTTTTCCTATACTTTTTTTTTAGACTTTTTATTGTTTTGTGTCTTAGATTTAAATCTTTTATCCCTCATGAGTCTCCCCTCTCCCTGCTCCCTCATTCCCCCACTCCCACCATGTACTAGGTCATCTACTGTCTTCATATTAGAATTGAGCACATTGAATTCTTGGTTCTTCATTCTTGTCATGCTTTACTAAGAAGAAATTGTTCCACCTCCATCCAGGTTAGTACAAAAGATGTAAAGTCTCATTTTTTTCTTTATTGCTGAATAGTAGTCCATGGTATACATGTACTACAACTTGTTAATCCATTCTTGGATTGATGGGCATTTAGGCTGTTTCCACATTTTGGTGATTGTAAATTAAGCTGCAGTAAACAGTCTAGTGCAGATGTCCTTGTGATAAAATGATTTTTTTTTTCTTTTGAGTAGATGCCCAGAAATGGCATTGCAGGATCACATGGGAGGTCTAATTTTAGTTCTTTGAGAAGTCATCACACTTCCTTCCAAATGGGTTGTGTCAGTTTGCAGTCTCTCCAGTGTATGTTTTTGTTTATTGAAAATCAGACAGCAATGTGCAGCTGGTTTCATTTCTAGGTTCCCTACTCTATTCCATAGATCTATGTCTCTCTTTCTGTGCTAGTGGCATGCTGTTTTGATCACAGTAAATTTGTAGTATAACCTGAAGTCTGATAATTTGATGCCTCCAGATTTGTTTTTATTTCTTAGAATTGCATTGGTTATTTGGGTTCTTTTCTGGTTCCATGTAAAACAAAGTACTGTTTTTTCAGGTTCTTCAAAGTGTGATATTGGTGCTTTGATGAGGATTGTATTCACTCTGTAGATTGCTCTGCGTAGTATGGACATTTTTACAATATTGATCCTTCCCAGCCATGAGTATGTTATGTTCTTCCATTTGTTAGTATCTGCTGTTTTTTCCTCAAGATTTCATAGATATCTCTATAGAGATTGTTCACATTGTTTGTTATGTATATATTCCCAGATACTTTCATTTTCTTTGAAGCTACTGTGAAGGGAATTATGTCTTTGATTTGATTCTCAGCTTGACTGTTGTTGGTGTATATGAAGGCTACTGATTTGTGGACAGTGATTTTATATCCTGAGATATTACTGTATTTCTTGGTCACTTTCAGGATTCTCATAGTTGAATCCCTGGGATTTTCTAAGTATAAGATCATATCATCAGCAAGGAGTGAAAGTTTGACCTCCTTTGTCCTCCTTTGGATACCCTTGATTTCCTTTTCTTGTCTGGTAAGTATTTTGAATAGCAATGGCAATAGTAGACATCCTTATCTGGTTCTAGTTCTATGTGAAAATACTTTCAGTTTTATCCCATTTGCTATGATGTTGGCTGTGGGTTTATTATAGATGACTTCTGTCAGTTTAAGAAATATTCCATCTATGCCTATTTTCTTAAACATTCTTATCAGAAAAGGATCCTGAATTTTGTTGAATGCTTTCCATATCTATTGAGAGGATCATATGGTCTTTGCTTTTACCCCTATTTATGTAGTGAATTACATTGGTATATGTTGAACTAGCCTTGCATCCCTGGGATAAAGCCTACTTGATCATTATGCACAATTTTTTAAAATGCATCACTGTATTCTATTTACTAGGATTATATTGAGTATTTTTCTATTGATATTCATTAATAATATTGGTCTATAGTTTGTTTTTTTTTATTGGGTCCTTACCTGGTTTTGGGATCAGGGTGATATTAGCTTCATGGAAGAGTTAGGGAAGGTTTCTTCCTTCTCAATGTTTTGGAATAGGATTTGCAATATAGGTATGAGGTCTTTGAAAGTTTGGTAGAATTCTGTTGTAAAACCATCTGGTCCAGGACTATTTTTAGTTGGAAGCTTTTATATTGTTGCAATTTTAGTGGTTAATATTGATGTGATCAAGAGATCTAATTCATTCTGGTTAAGTCTAGTGAGGTTGTGTGATTCCAGGTATTGATATATTTCCTCTACATTTTCAAATTTCTGGGCATAGAATATTTTGTAGTAATCAGTGATGATCTTTTGTATCTCTGTGGCATCTGTTGTTATTTCCCCTTTTTCATTTCTGATTCAGGTTATTAGAGATCTTGTTTTTCTGTTTCTAGCTACTTTGGCCAAAGGTTTATCAATTTTATTTATCTTTTCAAAGAACCAACCTTTTGTTTCATTAATCTTCCTAATATGTTTTTTTTCCTGGATTTCATTTACTTCTGATCTAATTTTGGAAATTTCTTTTCTTCTGCTAGGTTTGGGATTAGAATAAAGTTCAATTTAAAAAAATTTAGAGTTTTTTTTTTCCTTTGCTAAAAATTTACCAATGGGTTCTTATTCCTCTTAGGGAAAATACCAATCTTCTCTATGGCCCATCTTCTAACTTATCTTTTGGCTGATTATTTTCCAGCTTCATTGACCTTTTTTCTGATCATTGAGAGACCTGTGTAAGTACTGTCTATGTATGTGGGCCAGGTATTAGTCCTGGGGAAGGGGAGAGAAAAGAATGCATGCAAAGAGCCCCAGGAAGTCCAGGACCATAGAAGCTTGAGGTTGCTCGAGTAAGACATAGAAAAGGTCTTGCAGATTGTCTGTAATGTTGGCGTTAGGCAAGAAAATCAGAGAAGGGTATGGAAGGGGGAACAAACATACATTTCAAAATTTGTATCATCATTCAAGCTAAACATGTCAAGCTTACTTGATGTGCCCAGTATTTAGTCTTCCTAGGAAATCTATGAGGTTAAGTATCACTCTCGATTAAAAAAAATTAAAGTTTAGGAAATTCCATTACTGGGTATCTACACAAAGGACAATAAATCCTTTTGTCAAAAAGACATTTGTGTTTGAATGTTTATTGCAGCACAATTCAAAGATCTGGAATCAATTCCAGTGCCCATCAATGAGTGAATTAAGAAAATGTGGCATATATAAACCATGGCATAATACTCAGCCATAAAAAGGATGAATTAATGCCTTTTGAAGCAAATAAAAAGGAACTACCCTTGGGCGGTGCCTATGGCTCAAAGGAGTAGGGTGCTGGCTCCATATGCTGGAGGTGGTAGGTTCAAACCCAGCCCTGGCCAAAAACTGCCAAAAAAAAAAGAAGGAACTACCCTAAGTGAAGTTTCTCAAGATTGGAAAAAAGAAATCACCACATGTACTCTCTAATAAATTGGAACTAATTGATGAACACAGAAGTGTATAGAGGGAAGTAAAAGTTATTGAAAATTAAGCAGTAGGGTGGGGGGAGCAAAGACTTACCTAACAGGTATAATGGATGCTATTTGGGTGATGAGTGCTCTTCTAGCCCTGACTTAAGCCATGTAGCCAAAATATTTGTAGCCCTTTAATATTTTGAATTTTTAAAAAGATTACAAAAACCTAAATAGCTAGGACTATGGGCATGCACCACCACAAGAGGCTAATTTTTAATTTTTTTGTAGAGATGGGGTCTTGCTATGTTGCCCAGGGTGGACTCAAACTCCTGGCCTCATGTAATCCTCCTGGCTTGGCTTCCTTCCCAAAGTGCTTGGATCACAGGTATGAGCTACTGGGCCTAGCCTCCAACTTGGAATTCTAATACAAGTTTCTACATTCAACATTTTGCCTATAAACTAGATAAGATTTTAGAACAATAAAAGACATTAGCAATTCAGAGGCAACCGTGAAGCTGCTCATGTGACATAAAAACAAAATCTGGTCTTAGGCCAGGTGCTTATTATTACACAGGGTTAGTGTATGAATTAACACTTACACATCCTGTTTTATTAGCAAGAGATAGTAAAATTTTCTGCCTAATTCTTACACCGCTTGCTTTTCTTTTTTTGTATCAGTATCCTTTTTTTTTTAACCTGAGACAAAGTCTCACTCTGTCACCATCCTACAGAGAGTGCCATGGTATCATAGCAACCTCAAACTCTTGGGCTCAAGTGATCCTCTTGCCTTAGCCTCCTGAGTAGCTGGGACTACAGATGCCTGCCACAACACCCAGCTAGTTTTTCTATTTTTAGTTTTGCTCAGGCTGGTCTTGAACTCCTGAGCTCAGGCTATCCATTCACCTTGGCCTCCCAGCAGGCTGGGATTACAGACATAAGCCATGTGCTCAGCCTCTGTATCACTATCTTTTATTGACTATTCACAAACAGATCAGAGAGAAGGGTTCTAATTAGGATTACCTTGCCAACAAGCACCGACTGTAAGTTGCATGGCTATATGAGATGGATGAATAGGCCAATCGTTGGTCACCAGGTATGGTTCATATGTCGCTCCATCCATATATAAGGTAACCACAGGAAACTCCACATTGATGACATAGTAATGCCACTCTTTGTCACAAATCTAAATAAGAAGAAAGAGGCAATACTTAAAATATGGAATGCAACATCAAACAGGACTTTATGAGAGGGGGAGAGACATTTTGGGGTCAACAATTTTTATGGCAAAGAAGAAGGAGCATGATGGTTAACACACACTGTGGTTATAAAAGTTTATTATCAAACACAATGGAGACAACTATGGTGAAGGGGAACACCCAAGAATCCAATCATCAGACAGATAATTGACCATGGACAGATTATTTAGCCCTACCTTTGTGTACCTGGGGAGGCAGAGAAGAACCAAAAATGGGTCCTATTGGTCTGGACTTGGTACAGAGCCCTGTCATACACATGTCCTCTCACAACCTTTTACATACAAGACTTCTGGTCTCAAGGCTGGAAACCCAAACCCAACATTAATAAATTGGTAGAGATGTTGGGTGGCTAAGATGGAGTCATAATTTCTGACCTCAAGGAACTAAACTCACAGGGCATGATCCAAAACAGAAATCAAAATTGTGTGTCTTGGGAAGGGATGCAGGAAGCAGGAAAGGTGGCAAGACTGGAGAAGGGTATGGCTCTCCCTCTGATCCCTGTGCAAGTGCCTGAGGAATCAGGGAACTATCTCCTTTACACTCCCTCTCCCCCTAATCTCCTCTACCTATGGAGTCCACCTCTGAAATGCCTGTCATCTGCATCTTCTTGTCTTCATCAACCCTGCCATCTGTGGCAGGAAGACAGATGAGTTCTCTATGAAGGTGACCCCAAGGTGAAGGCATCAAAGCCCTCCCTACATCTCACTCTGGATTAAATGTGCTGTTTCTCATGAATAGATAACACCAACAGGGATGCTAAATGATCTTTCTCCTTTCATTTTGAAATAAGAATTTTTTCCTTAATGTTCTTTTTATATTGTCCTGTCTCATGTCTCGGAAAATTGCTCCTTTTGAAGCCCATTAGCCTGATAAAGCCTGATGAATATTTTAGGGGACTTTAGAAGGTAAGTAGGAGGGGTCCAGGAAGATCTCTTCAAAGTCCTGTTACCCTTAGTGAGAGGCCCTGAACTCATTTACACTCTCCTGGGCTGGGTGCAGGGCTCTTAGGTTGGGCCTGTGACTGAGGTGGGGTGACCCCAGGGCATAGAGTGACACAAAGACCTAAAAACAGAGCCCAGGGCAGATGGAGGAGAGGAGAACTAACCCTTTGAATAAAGCACCAATCCAAGGAGGCCAAAGCATCCTGAACTTGGTGTTTGAAATCAAAGACAGCCAAGGTAGCAGAGGTAAAGTAGAATATGGGTCACATCCTCAGGATATTCCCAGCGGCCAGCCCAGGGTGGGGAGGAAGTGGTGGCAATGTGGGTGACCTTGACCACTGGGAAATAGTCTGCGGAACACTGTCAGAACACTGAGAGCCACTAGGAGGCGCTCTGCAGCCCTGGCCTCCCCCACCACCCGCACAGCACCCATCCCCCTTGTGTGACCCACATGTGGAATCCTCAGGTTTCTTATGACTCTACAGAACTGCATGTTTGCCAAAACTGGATGGAGGATGATCCTCTGGCTCTCTTTCATAACACTTAACATTTTTTGGTAGGACAATTCAAAAATTGTAAAACTCAACAGCAGCAGTAACCCCCCTCAATATGACAGGTTCTTTCCAGGAGATTTTCCCCCAGCTCGTCTGTAGTTCATCATTGGAGCACTGATGAACTTGTGTCATGCCCAGGATAGAAAAAGGGACCCCCGACCCTGAGCTGAGCCTTGTGCTTGTGGGAGATTTCCCACGTTCATTAGCACTTCCAAGCAACCCAGCAATCCCAAACTATAATAACTTCTCAACCTTACTGAAAAATGGAACTTTTCTATTTATAGCATTCCTATAAACATCCTGTGAAACAGCAGCTAGGGACGGTCTATTTGGATCACACTGCATAACGATTTGAAGGTGTGCACATTTCACTTAATATCAGCATTAAAATGTTTTCACAAATTTCATCTTGAATGGCTGTGCAATATGGTTATTATTATAATACGCTTAACTATTTCCAGGTATTAATTATGTACCAGCTGTTGTAAATGATACTGCAATGAATTTATTGTGCATAAACAATTGTTTGCATTTCTGATTGTAATATTAGGAAAGATTCCTATAAATGAAACTACTTGGTCAAAAATTTGGAGGTATTTTTAAGACTCTTGATATGTATCATTATACATTTTTTCCTGCAAAAGGTTGTACCTATTTATAACCCTACTCTCAGAGTGTGAGAGTGCTGATGCATTGTACCCTTGCTACACTCACTCCAAACTAAAAATAAAAGTAAAATCCTGGTAATTTGAAAGGAGATACATATTTTTTCATATATTTATATGCCTTAAGTAAGATGACACAATTTGTATTCTCCAAGATCAAAAAGGAGGACAATCTGGGTGTGGGGAACAACCTGAGCCAAGAGTCAGAGGTAGGAATGGTTTGGAACTGCCACAGTCAGCTGCTAGCTGGACATCTGAACAACCTTTTAGCTCATGTTAGGTGTACACCTGCAGACTTCTCCCACCACGTAATCTATGACAGCAGCTAAAGGAAATACCTAATTAGAGTTTCATAAATGTGAAGCTATGGTCAGGAAGAGACCCACATTGACCCTCTGCCAGAACTGCAGGGACAAACTGTAATTGAAAAATGATCGAGCCAGGAGGCAGCAAAAATAAATGTGTCGATGCATAGTTCAACCAAAAAAGAAGGAAATTAGGCAAAGTGACCTTTCCTGGGGGAAGAGAAAAACTTTAACTCCTGACTATTCGTGAATCACTGGTCAAATCTATTATCCCCAAGCATGTTGGACACCACTAATGAAATGATGCCTCAGGCTTCACCTGGACCAGACACTTCCGTCTCTCTCCCCCTGCAAGTATGTTCCCAAGGAGATATGCTCCAGCTTAGCTGATGAGTGACTCAAGACCAGAGAGCCAGAGACAGACAACCAGGAAGGGTAGCAGGAGCTACCAAAGGAGATCTGAGTTAAGGATAGGCTGGGATTGCAGGGAGACTCAGGGGGCAAGGAGGCCTCCCACAAGATAAAGAAGAAAAAAATCAGGTGAGAGAGGTTCTCTGTGTTAGTGCTGACAGGAGGATTCAAATGTCCATATAACTTCATGTTGGAAGTTCTGACTTGGTTTTTTCCACTAAATCTTCTCACGCAGGGAATGGAGAGATTCTTTCCAGCTTAAAGAAAGTGGAATTTGGGGTGGGTATTGAAGAACTATCACTATTTCATTAGAAATAGATGGTGAGTAATAAATTCCAGGCAAATGAAGCAGAAAACCCTTATTCTATAATTTATTCATCCCTCTTTTCAATTGTCAAAATTACCAGGTTTGGGGCATATGGAAATTCATCGTTAATTCATTCATTCCTTCCTGCAGATATGCAGACGTTCACTTCTGCAGGATCTAAATGCATATCTTACTTTAAGAACAAAGAAATCACCTGCCTTTATGAAGCTTATAGTCTAGTTATGAATTGACAAAAAGGCTTATGACTGATTGGGATTCATGCCCAGTATAGACTTGTATAAGGTGCCATGTCAACCCTGTGGAGGAAGATGGGGTGTTGGATGCACTGGCAAGATGGAAAGGAGCAAAGACCCTGAGTTTGGATGGTCAAGCTGCATTTGGGAAAGCTGAGGAATATGAAATATGTATAGAGGGAGGAATAGAAAAGCTGCTTCAAAACTGAAAAGCATGTTCCAAGATTGTTGTTATGACTACCATACCCTCCTCCCACCCAGAAACCTCCAAACTTCTTGTCTGCAGAACAAAAGCCATCCAAGTCCTCGGTGAGTTCACTATCTATTCATTCAGCCTTCCCACATACTATTTAACCCTTGCTGCAACCCTATGAAATAGGGGGACCAATTCTATCCTAGGCACTATTAGAAAATAAAGGGAAAGAAATGACATGATTTCTTGTCTCAAGAAACTCATAATCTTATTGGGAATTAGAAGCAACTAACACATACACAACTGTGGACATCCACACCTGGCCTCCGGTGTTTTCTGTTGACATATGGCTAGTGGCTCAGCAGCACATGCTCTTGGCCAAATCAGGATCTTGAGCAGAGACCTTTCTGAGTGGTAGATTTGCATGTAAGACATGTAAGACTGTAAGACCTTTCTGAGTGGTAGATTTGCATGTAAGACATGTAAGACTGTCTTCAAATGGCCCCACTTGGATGTTCCATAGGCACTTCAAACTCCTTCTGCCCAAAATTGAGTTCAACATCTCCCATGCTGTAGTCTGACCTGCTCCCTTCCCTGAGACCCTTGCCTCAGTAAATGCTCCTTCATGCCCTCTGCCATCTCAGCCAGAACACTGGGCCATGATCTGGACTCGTCTTCTCTCTCTAGTCCAGGGGTCCTCAAACTGTTTAAACAAGGGGCCAGTTCACTGTCCCTCAGACCATTGGAGAGCTGGACTGCTGGCCCCAGGATGAGTCGGCTGCTAAGCAGGACAGGCAGTGGCAGCAAAAACACCTGGTGGGCTGGATAAATGTCCTAGATGGGCTGCATGTGGCCCACGGGCTGTAGTTTGAGGACACCTGCTCTAGTCACTTCCCTGCCAATTTCTGATGATGCTTGTCCATTCTCCCCTCTGCACCCTCACTCCTACTCAGCACTTACAACATATACCAGAGGGGGAAGGGTTGAAGGGAAGGAAGACTGACTGAGAAAGTGTTTCTGGGACAGGATTTTGCAAGGTGGAAAGGATTTGAGCAGGGGGAGAAGATCATTTGTAGTGGGAAAGTGGGGAGAGAACTTTGGTGTGAGTATGGATGGAGTGAGCAGCTTGGTAGTGAGCAACTTCCCTGGGGTTTGTGGTGGTCACAGAATAAGATGGCCAGGGCAGGACAAGGAGGGTGGAGGAGGGAGTTAGTGCAGGTCATGTTTGTGAGTCCTGGTAGGGGAATTATAGCTGCTTCATGGATTTCTGGGGAATCATGTCCTGAACTTTAGGAAA